ACCGGCCCCAGGCCATGCGCTTCACCGTGGAGGAGATAAACAACTCCAGTGCCCTCCTCCCCAACGTCACCTTGGGCTATGACATCCATGACACCTGCTCGGAGCCCGCCAGCCTCCACGCCACGCTGCGCGCCCTCGCCCGGAGAGGTGGGCAGGAGGTCGAGGTGCTCCCCACCTTTCGCCACTACGAGCCTGAGACAGTGGCCGTCATTGGGCCTGACAGCACCTGGCTGGCCCTCACCACAGCGGCCATCCTCGGCGTCTTCCTCGTACCGGAGGTAAGGGCAGCTCCCCCAGCACACGAAGAAAAGGGCTCCCGAGGAGCAATGGCTTGAGGGAGGACGGGGCTTGGAGCTGAGGAGCCAGGCTGAGCTGGAAACACAGACCCTCCGTGCCTGCGTTGGCACCAGTCTTTTCCCAGGCGCTGCCAGCTGGCAGGGAGGAATTGCGGCTGGCTAAAGGCTTCTTTCATGGCAGTGCCTTCAGCCCCAGGTCCCCTGCCCACCCAGCCCCAAGTCTCTTCAGGAGACGGACTGCCTGAGGGCACGCAACCCCCTTTTCTCCTGATTCCTTTTGCAGATTAGCTACGAAGCCTCCTTGGAGACACTGAGCCTGAAGCGGTTCTACCCCTCGTTCCTGCGCACCATTCCCAGTGACAGACAGCAAGTGAAGGCCATCTTCCTGCTGCTGCAGCAGTTTGGGTGGACTTGGGTGGCTCTGCTGGGCAGCGACAATGACTACGGCAGGAATGGCTTAGATGCCCTCTACAAGCTGCTGACCGCAAGCGATGCGTGCGTTGCCTACCGAGGCATCATCCCCGTCAACAAGGATGCCAGCAGCCCGGAGCTCCACAACCTGGTCAGAATCCTCACGGATGTCAGGGTCAACGTCACCGTCGTCTTCTCCAACAGACGAAGCGCCCGTCCTTTCTTTGAGGTGGTGGTCCAGAGGAATGTCACTGGCATGGTGTGGGTGGGCTCCGAAGACTGGTCGCTAGCCCAAACAATCTGGGAGGTGCCTGGCATCCAGAGCATCGGCTCGGTGATTGGGATGTCAGTTGAGAAGGCAGAACCCATGATGCTGGAACGCTTTGAATCTTGGAAGACAGCAGAGAAAAGCGCTGCAGCCGACTGTGCCGGCAGCACAGGGGCAGGCAGGGCAATCGGACAGAGCGCCCAGCCGGACTGCACCCAGCGCTGCACCTGCTGCCACTCGCTCACCACTGTCCCCGACGTGTACGACGCTCAGGGTTCCTTCAACGTGTACTCAGCCGTGTACGCCGTGGCCCACGGCCTCCATGACCTGCTGGGCTGTGCCTCGGGGGTGTGCAGCAAAGGCACAGTCTATCCCTGGCAGGTAAGAGCAACACGAGGAAGGATCTTCCTTGTGGAAGAGGATCCATGGGGATCCTTCCTCACAGGGAGTTTTCTGTCCCTCTGAAAAAGGCTCATGTCCCAGCTGATGAAGAGCCTCATGGGCTTCAGCTGCCCATCACAGTCAAAGTAGCCTGGACCTAGACCCAGACTCCTGTCCTACATCACTTCTATGCCTCTACCGCCAGCTCCTTGCACAAACCTGGGAGGGACTTTATGCAGCTGGGAGTATGCTAGCTGTTGGGGGGGTTGTAAAGAAGAGCCAGAGCACAGAAGGCCTCTCCCTCCTGCAACAAGGCACTCCTCAGCAGGAGTCTTGTCATTGGGAACGGCTCTTCTCTTACTCTTCTCTTTTACAGCTCCTACAAAAAATCAAGCAAGTAAACTTCACCGTGTACAAGAGCCGCATCTCTTTTGATGCCAACGGGGACATTCACAAAGGCTACACCATCATCATGTGGAACTGGAGCGGCCCGAGCTGGGCTTTCGATGTGATAGGAACTTTCAGTACAAACCCCGACAGGCTGAACATTGACCAGAGCAAAATCCTCTGGCACACAAAAGATCACCAGGTACTGTTTTGCATCTAGATCTTATTTATTGCTTACTGCTGGGCCAGCTACATCCCCAACACTGCCAGTTCTGGGGTATTTCCCCACAGCAGGACAAAAATGAGGGCAGACAGAGGTGGTGGTGGTGGTGTGATCTGTGTTCTGAGTATCAGCTTTCATCCTTCCAAAAAACAGGCAGGGCACTTGAACCAAAAAGGCTCCTACTTTTACCTTTAAACAGTCTAATTTTCCCACCACCTCTGTAAGAACCACAATGTGTTGAGCTCTCGGCTCCTGCCCAGGGTCTGTCCTGAAGACCGGCAGCAGCCTGCCCAAATGCTGCCAGGCCCAGGCCTGATGCTCAGTGAGGTGTCCTGCTGCCTGCCCGCTCCCCTACCTGACCCTCGCCACGCTCCCGACAGGCTCCCACCTCGGTGTGCTCTGAGGCCTGTCAACCAGGGGAGAAGCGGCTGCAGCGGACCCGCCACCGATGCTGCTTCAGCTGCGTAGCCTGTCCATCAGGAACCTTCCTGAACAGATCGGGTCAGTACGCCTCGGGGGGGCTGGTCCCTCCCCTGCCTTTCTGCTTGGCTCCCCTGCCTGCACCCTGCCTCCTCCTCCAGTCAGCTCCTTGCTTCCATCTCGCTGTTCCCCAAGCCTTTTCTCTCCCGCTCCCTCTTCCTCCCTGTGGTCGGTAAAAACCCCCAAGCTGACCTGAACGTGGTCAGTCTGACTCCCATTTGCTTACCTGTGGGTATGCAAAGCCCATGCCCTGCACTTTCCGGGGAGCACTGCCCACAAGCGGGCCCACGCAGTCAAATAGGCAGTGGAGATGGTGCTGGCAGAGCTCCTTCTCCATGGCCAGGGGACAAGGGATGTCTGGCCTGACAGCTGTTTCCTGCACCACATCCTCTGGGAGGGAAATTTGACCCAGCAGTTGCCTTTGTACCCCAGATGGCACTTGGGGCTTCCGCACCATGCGGTCACCAGCAGCTGGGATATGGAAATGTCCCCTGCCTGGGATGGGCAGAAGGAATCTCCTGTCTCAGAGTCACCAGCCACAATGACGAACCCCTTGCTGGCAGCCTCGGCCCGCACATGGGCTGAGGGGGGTGGAAATGGCCAGCTCCAGGTAACAGCAGGAGCGGGGAGCCCCCACGAGTGGCCAGTCAGCATTACCATCCTGTACAGCCGGTGGAAGGGAGGCGGCTGCAGAGCCATTCTGGCCCTCGCAGGCTACACCTAGATGCACAAGCCCCTTCCCACCTACAGCCCACAGGCCCCTGAGCCTTGGCTCACCCAGCTGGGCGCCTGTGGGCCTCGTGCTTCAACCCAAGCAACGAACTTTTGGGAAGTCTGCTGGGAGGACTTTTTGGGGGGGTCTTTTGGGAAAAGAGCCCCCATTGCTCCTCAAGGCCTGGAAGCACCCGAGGGGAAGGAGCTGGATGTGAGGAGTGGGCAGCTGTCGCAGAGAGCCCAGGGGGCTGCGAGGACAGGGTACTCCACTGCGGCAGATCTCTTACCGGGGTCTGTGGTGTGCAAGGTGCCTCTGTCACCAGCTGGGCTCGTGTCCTCCACAGACCTCTATGGCTGCCAGTCCTGCGGGGTAGATGAGTGGTCTCCGGCGAGGAGCGAAGCTTGCTTCAACCGCACCATCGAATTTCTGTCTTGGTCCGAGCCCATCTCTTGGGCCCTGCTGACCCCCACTGTCCTCCTCCTGCTGCTCATGGCAGGGCTGGCTGTCCTCTTTGCCCTGAACGCCTCCACGCCAGTGGTCAAGTCTGCAGGTGGGAAGATGTGCTTCCTCATGCTGGGCTCTCTGGCCTGTGCCTGCACCAGCCTCTTCTGCTACTTCGGGGAGCCCACCCGGCACGCGTGCCTGCTGCGGCTCCCCCTCTTTGCCATCAGCTTCACCGTCTTCCTCTCGTGTGTGGCGACACGCTCCTTCCAGATCATCTGCATCTTCAAGCT